CTCGACCGACAACACGCCCACTGTGGTCGCGGGACTGAGCGGCGGGGAACTGGAGGCCCTAGTAGTGGCCCTAGTTCCCCGCCTCATGGAGGCCATGGGGGCCGTCATCCCCGGGATTGCGCCCGGGAAGCGGCCCGCCTGGCCCCTTAATAAGGGGAGTAAAAAGGTGGGAGGGGGGGAGGGGAGCTGTACAACGCGCCCCGACCCTCCCCCCAAAATCAAAATCAAATCCTCCGCGACCTCTACCCCCGCCGGGGCCAAACGGCCCGAGGTGGCGGGGGAGAGCAAGCGGGGGAAAAAAAAGAAAAAGAAGAGTGGCGAGGGCGGTCCGTTACCCCAAGCGGGTGGGAGGGCCGCCCCTTGCAGGTGCGCCTGCTCCTGTGGGGGAGCCATACCCCCTCCACAGGGCCGGACAACACCGGCGCGACCGGCCGGGAGGGCCGATCCTCCTTCCTCCGCCACCGGGCCCCAGACTTGGGCCCGGGTGGTTGGGAGGAGGGAGAAGAAGGGAGAAGGGGGGGGCAAACAGGCCCCCCAACCCGCCCCCCAGAAGCCGGGGCCCCAGAAGGGTGCCGCGGCCAAGAAGGGCGACAAGAGGTCAACGCGGGATGGGGGAGGCGGGACATAACCCGTCCTCCCAAAGGCTCCTCGTACCGCCGCCGTCACGGTGAGCTGCCCCACGGGCAGCTACGCCGATGTCATGCGGCGGGCGAGGGGCCAGATAGATCTAGGTAAGATAGGGATCGGGGATCGCAGGACCAGAAGGGCCGCAACAGGCGCGCTGGTCCTCGAGATCCCTGGTCCCGAGGGACAGGCCAGGGCGGATGCCCTGGCCAAAAGTATGTCGGCCCTCTTCGCTGACAATAGGGACGTGCAAATTGCGCGTCCCTCAAAGAGGGCCGACATCCGGGTCCGCGACCTCGACGACTCAGTCACCGCGGAGGACGTAATCTCCGCGGTGGCGGTCGCCGGGGGCTGCGGGCCCGGCGAGATTAGGGCCGGGGCAATTCGCCCGGGTGCGGACCGGATGGGGACAATCTGGATACAGTGTCCCCTTCCGGCCGCACGGAAGATCGCGAGCGGAGGACGGATTAAGGTTGGGTGGTCCTCGGTCCGCGTAGAGGCCCTAACGAAGCGCCGCCTGCAGTGCTTCAAATGCCTGGAGTGGGGCCACGTCAGGGCCCTGTGTAAAAATAGGGCCGATCGCAGTGGTCTATGTTACCACTGCGGTTCGGCCGGCCACAGGGCCGCGGCGTGCGAGGCACCGGCGACA